CACCCGCCATTAGCCTCAGCTCACTTGCCCACCTAGCAGGTCGAAAGCACAAATGCGAGTAGATAAAATAGGTACCGCTTTTAGCAGGGAGATAATAAAGTCGCCCTTAAGGACATCGATCGGAGGAAAGCTCCTCGGCATGGAAGATGGAGCGACAGTACCCCCCTGTAACTGGAGTCGAACACAACCATCAAGGTGGTGGAAATAAAATGGGGAAAACTGCCTTTACCTCTGTTTGTGTTTGTCTGTCCTTGTTAATTGTATAATCATAATTGAATGTTTGCTGTATGTATGTTCTTTAAGCCACTCTGAGTCCCCTTTGGGGTGAGAAGGGCAGGGTATAAACACTATACATAGGAAAGGTAAAGGATTACTCCTCACCCGTTGTGCCTGACTCTGGGGATTGGTACTCATCTCCATTTCTAAGCCGAAGAGCCGGCGTTGTCCGTAAATACCTCCAAGGATCATATGGCCGGTATGACTGCGTGGAGTGCTGTTACCTTTCTACCCGAGCGATACCTATTAATCTTCTCACATTTCCATGTTTCCATGTTTTCTAATTGCTAGTTGGCAGAAGCTGGGCCTAACAGCAGGAGCTCACCCTGCTCTCCGGATTTGAACCAACAACCTTTTGGTCAGCAAATTTAGCAGCTCAATTGTTAAACTCACTGGGGGCTCCTTAAAAATACTGTACATAAATAAATAAATACATAAATAAATACATTTTGCCTTCTCTACCATAGAGTTCCTGCTTCTTAGCAGGGGGTTGAACTGGATGTCCCACAAGGTCTCTTTCAACTCTATGGTCCTATGAGTACTGGGACCATATCAACTACAAGGATTCTATAATATTGAGCCATGGCAGTTAAAATAGAGTCACGCTGTATTAATTATACAGGGTATAGATGCACCCCAAGTCATATCCCCCAGACTGGATAAGACTACTTTTTCTAATGTATGGCTTAAACTTATAATAATCAAAAACTACATTACCACTATGATTTTAACTGGCTCTTTCAAACTGTTTTATCATAGATCTAGTTGCTTGTACAGAGCACCATAGACAGATCATTGATAGCAAATGTGTACTGGATGGTAGCAGCACGGAACATCAAACATCCTAAAGAGGCATGTGCAAAGCCCACCACTTGCTCCATAGAGTCCAATGTTTCCTAAAGTAGCAAACTAAGCAGAGTTTGTCAAAGGGCATGGCAACAGCAGGACACAAATTGCTAGTCAACAGTTTTTCCCATCAGTGCATGCATGAGTACATCAACAAATGCCCTTCATTATATGCAGTGGTTGCCCAAAGCCATATGATTTGACACTATACATTTTGTTTCCTGTTGGACTCAGCTGGTGAATAGGGAAGCATTTTATTTTGCGATTTCCAAAACAGCCGTTGGTGGAACCTTTTGTCATAAAATTATGGGACATTCAGGGGAAAAAAAGTTTAATTCAGAGGGCATTGCTTGAACATTTTCAAAAACAGCGATTACATTTAGTTAATCCAGGTTGAGTGTCCTTTATCCAAAATTCTTGAACCATAAGCATTTGGGATGCCTGTATTTGCATCTATTCCCATATTTGCATCTAGGGACATAATAAGTCGTCTTGGAGATGGGACCCAAGTCTAAACATAGGATTTGTGTACATTTCATGTACACAACCTTATGCACATAGGATTTTGGAGTAATTTTGGATTTCAGAATTCTAGATAAAGAATGCTCAACCTGTGCTAAATTACAGAAGTACTCCATCAAGTCACGGTGAATATAGAAAGGCCATGATTTAGAGTTTGCATGGGAAGTTCTCTGAACTTGACACAAGCTAGATAGCCATGAGCAAACTTGGGCCCTCCAGGTGTTTTGGACTTCAACTCCCACCATTCCTAACAGCCTCAGGTCCCTTCCTTTTCCCACTCAGCCGCTTAAGTGGCTGAGGGGGGAAAGGAAAGGGCCTGAGGCTGTTAGGAATTGTGGGAGTTGAAGTCCAAAACACCTGGACGGCCCGTTTGCCCATGCCTGAGCTAGATGCTCAATATTATATTTGAAATATCTTGCTTATACAAGTTTATTCTAAAACTATGGCTAATACTTTGTGCATGCAAAATTTTCTCTCCTTCACTGATTAACACAGGATGCAATCCTACACATGCTTACATAAAAGTAGACTACAAAACAATAAGACATCTGAGTAAAGATGCACAGAAATGTGCTTCTTCTCATTGACAGTGAATTGCATCTCTCTGAGGTGGTTTCATAGGTACCCTATTTACTCTGTATCACTTCTGAATCAGATTCAGAAAGTGAAAGACAGTCATGGTAAAGTCAAATGTTTTTCCTAATTCTACACAATGTGATTCTTTAATTTACAGGCAAGGGAAGCACCAAAAGTAGGTCAAAACAGTTTAAAAAATAAGACACGTTTTATTTTGGCTCTGGTTTCAAAGGCAGTTAGTAGAACTCAAACCACACAGAAACCAAGTTATGGTGCAACTAGCAACTAACAAATGCATTTTTCCATGTGGGTCGAGCAGTTCTTTTTCAACCTGTGGGTCCCCAGTTGTTTTTACCTACAACTCCCAAAAATCCCAGCCAGATTACCAGTTGTTAGAATTTCTGGGAGTTGAAGGCCAAAACATCTGGGGACCCATAGGTTGAGAAGCACTTTTTCATGTCAGAAGTAACTTGCAAGTCACTTCTGGTGTGAGAGAATTGGCTGTCTGCAAGGATGTTGGACAAAGGATGCCCAGATGTTTGATGTTTTATCATCCTTGTGGGAGGCTTCTCTTATGCCCCTGCATGGGAAACTGGCGCTGACAGAGGAAGCTCAACCTATTCTCCCCAGATTCGAACCGCTGACCTGTCAGTCATAAGTTCTGTCGGCACAAGTGGTTAACCCATTGTACCACCAGGGGCTCCTGTTGAGAACCACCAGTTTAGCGGGCTCAGGCCCTACTGGTTTGGTTTTTGACATATTATCATGCTACAGACAAGTTATTTTCCATTTATGGGAATGGCTAGAAATATACTGTAAGATATTGCTACTTTTAAAATCCCCGAATGCTTCTTCCTGAGATGAAAAAAGTGCAGTAACCTGTTAATTGGAAACCTGTATAAAGATTTTTTTGAAAGGATTCAGGTGTGCAGCGTAATATTTCACTACAGCACAATCTTGTACATATGTACTTGGAAAAAAGCCCCACTGAGAAAAAGTGAATGTACATGTTTAGGATTGCAGCCATGGTCATGATGTGAAGCTTTTGCCAAATGTGGTTTACTCCTACTGACTTCTATCGACCAACATGAATTCCTTTTAAATTCTATTTATTTTAATCAGAGACACACCTACTTCCTTTACTCTTTTCTTTTGAATCAATATAATGCGAAAACTCTCATCTCTAATGACTTGTGCTCACAGTACTTTCCCCAACTAACTCAAAACTATCTAGTCCAGCGGTTCTCAACCTGGGGGTCGTGACCCCTGGAGGGGTCGAATGACCGTCTCACAGGGGTCGCCTAAGACCATTGGAAAACACATATTTCCAATGTTTTAGGAACCTCCTTTGGCAGAGAAGGCTGAAGATCTCAAATTTACAGGAATTCTTACTCAAAATTACAATTATGAAGCAGCAACATGAGGAACTATATTGAAGGGTCGTGGCATTCAGAACGTCGAGAATCACTGATCTAGTCATTAAAAATGCATAGTCCGAGTTCTGCTCGTAATTGCCACAAAATCAAATACCCCCCCCCCCACACACACACACAATGGAACAATTTCTTTTCTGTCTTTCAAACTCGACAATGTCGTATGTTGAGACACATGTGCTTTAGTTCTTTGTTTTTGGAGTTTCGGCATTAATTTCAGAAGACAGAACCAAACATTTCTTTAAAAAACATGTAGATTTAAAATATGTATTCATGGTTTGGAAACATTGTATAGAAGAATCTCAAGACTGACACTTCCACACAGATCCAGAGTCAAAGGATGGCAAGGGACGGGGGAAGAAAAAGGGAGAAAAAAACCAGAATGCTAATTAATGAACCATGAATGCTTAAATCTATAAGAGGAGTTACTTCCATATTGCCCAGTCCAGAACCATTAGAACTGGCAAATTATTACAAGTAGAAACTGTCTTGTTCAAATAGGAGAATTGTAAACCTGCTTCTTTTTAATACACATGTTTGACCCAAGTGATTCTTGTTCACTTTCATGCTAGGGAAATGATTGGTGGCAGGTAGGAAAGGTTAACATTAAAATATAGCCTCATCACACTAGAGGATGGAGCCACTTTAAATCCAGTTTTTGCCTCCTGCAGAATTCTGGGATTTATAGTTTAGTGAGGCCCAGGACTTGTCTGGCTGAGCAGTTTAAAGGCACCTCCCTAAATTACAAGTCCCAGAATTCTGCAGGAGGCAGAAACTGGATTTAAAGTGGATCCATGTTCTAGTGTGATGAGGTCCTAAACCTCTGCTTCCTATGTATATTTATCCCCCTCCCTTCTTCCTCTCCCTCTCTCCCCCCTTTAAAGAACTAAATGTGAACCTAAGATAGTAAATATAACAGTGGTGAGGGAAAGAGAGAAATGACAGATGTTAAAAACTAAACATTTTTGTGGGGAGTATGGCCTTATGAACAGCGTGTTCTCACTTGCTGCTGGCACATGGAGAAGTCTCTTCCCCCCTTGCATGATCTGGCTGTATTGGTCCCTTGGTCAATGGGCTGCACCACAGCCACTCCTGACCTACTAGAAAACACTGATAAGTAATCCTTCCCATCATCACCACTATCACCACTACAAGCCACAGATTGCAAGAACTACAAACGTAAAAGTTTGGAATCGTGGCCTCCCCAATTCTCCCTGTCCTGGGGTTGAGCCTAATCTAACCCTCCCTATCACCATCCCCAACCCTACCCCACCCTATCCTAGTGTGGGTTCCCCTTTACATTTTGCTGTCTCGGTCATCCCTCCCTCCAAGTGCAAGGGATCAAGCTTAGATGGTCAAGTCATCTGACCTGGCCCTGCTGCTGCTTGACTTACTAGCTCTGCTCAAGCGACGTGAGTCTATGAGCAGAGGGGGGTCATGCATCTCCACCAGGGTGCACGTGGCTGACATGGGCCGCTCGTCTTCTTCACCTTCTCCCTCCCACTTGCTGCCGCTTCCCCCACTCAAGCTGGTGCTCACACTGCTGCTGTTGGCGGCAGCAACCGGTGACAAAGAAGGCGGAGGTGGAGGATGTTCACAGCTTTCCTCTTGTTCTGGATGGGATCGTTGAAGGCTGCTGGGGGTGGAAGAAGCAAGCGAGCTGGAAACCAGCATTTTCCTCTGGTGCTCGACTGCATTGTTGGCCCAATTCTGCTTATGAGCCAGGGTGTGGCTGTTGAAGTAGGAGCTGATGACAGGGGAAGGGGTAGGGATGGAAGATGTGGTTGCTATAGGTGTCGAGACTGTGGTGTGCACAGTGGCCTTGCACATTCCTTCACCAGCTGGGGGCTCACTTGGATATCCAACCAGAGAGGTTGTAATAGAGGGTAGCTGAGGCCTAGAGGTAGCCTCAGTGTAATGCGGCAGCTCGACTTGAGGAAAAGCCAGTGGGGTGATGGTACGGGTTTCAGGCAGAATGACTGGGGCAACAGGAGGCTCTGCAGCTGGAGACAAAGCTGACAAGGAAAGAGGTTTGGAGTCCTCCACTTTGGAAATGGATGCGACTGTGGTCAGATTAGGTGCTGCGCGGCTGTATCTTCTTGTCATGCCCTGCTTGAACTTCTTCCATCCCAAGTGGTACATCTCAAACATATTGAGGAGCAGAGAGAGACAGGCCACAGCCAACATGAAGAGGATGAAGACAGTCTTCTCTGTGGGCCTTGAAATAAAGCAATCCACTATATTTGGGCAGGGCCAGCGGCCACAACGGTAGAGTGGCCTCAGCTGAAAGCCATACAGGAAATACTGGCCCACGATGAAGGCAACTTCAAAGAGAGTTTTGAAAATGATGTTAAAGACATAGGTGCGCAGCAGAGCCCCTGCCATCCGGATCCTGCCACGCTCATCCCGGAGTGGTGATTTCTCTTCTTTCCGTGGAGGCGGATCCCTGTTGTTGTTGTGGCTGCTAACATCACTGCCCCCTTCTCCTTTCGATTCCTTGAGGTGGCTGGTATTGGTATCCTTGCCATTTCCCCTTTGCCTAATTTCTTCTTCCTTCTCTTTTTTCTTTTCCTCCATGCGCACAATGTGAAGCACATGGCCCAGGTAGATGAGGGTTGGTGTGGAGACAAAAATGATCTGCAGCACCCAGAAACGGATATGAGAGATTGGGAAGGCTTCATCATAGCAGACATTTTCACAACCAGGTTGCTGTGTGTTGCATGTAAAGTCTGATTGTTCATCTCCCCAGACTTCCTCAGCCGCGGCCCCCAAGACCAAAATCCTGAAGATAAATAGTACTGTCAGCCAAACCTTGCCAATAACTGTGGAGTGTTCTTGCGCATTCTCTAATAGTCTCCCCAGAAAGTTCCAGTCACCCATTGTTTCAGATCTCTAACCTATAATAAGAACATCACAGCAGCATTATTACAAAATATTCTGAGAAAATCAGGTAAATAATTACTCCTTAAAATAGATCTATTTAAGTTAGCATTTATAAATAACATGTTCAGTTATTTTCTGTACTATACATTATTCACTCTGTTGTACAACAAACTATTTGCAATAATAATACAAAACACAGGTGGAATTGTGGCACTTGTTGGTAGTCATTTGAAGACAAGAAATAATGTCTTCACATTATGAAGACAAATAATGTCTTCAGACCTCACAGCCTCTGAGGATGCTTACCATAGATACAGGTGAAACGTCAGGAGAGAATGCTTCTGGAACATGGCCATATAGCCCGAAAAACTTACAAGAACCCATGAAATAATGGCACACTTTGAAATACATTCAATCAGAGTCACCACTATCGGACAAAGCATTTTTGTGTTAAGTGTAACATCACCCTCTTGTCCATCTGCAATCTATAGAATGCAAACCAAGAAACATTTCACTGTGCCATAGTTCTACGTCTTGAAAGAGTGTCTTTTGGTAGTTATACTGGTAGTTTTGGCTTAAAGGGGAGCCCCCGGTGGTGCAGCGGGTTAAACTACTGAGCTGCTGAGCTGCTGAACCAAAAGGTCGACAGTCCAAATCTGGGAAGTGGGGTGAGCTCCTGCTGTTAGACCTAGCTTCTATCAACCTATCAGTTTAAAAACATGCAAATGTGAGTACAGTGTTCCCTTGCTATTTTGTGGTTCACTTTTAGTGGACTCAATGTTTCGTGGGTTTTTGAAAATATTAATAAAAAATATTAAATATTAAATATTTACATATAGTGGAGGCCGGGGAGACTAGTGATCCTGGAAGTGTGGCGGCCTGAGGCATGGCAGGGAAGGCCTGCCTCCCTGGGGTCCACAGACCCTGGAAGTGCGGCAGCCTGAGTTGCAGTGGGGAAGGCCTGCCTCCCTGGCCTGCTGCTGCCTGCATGGCTCTGCAGAGGCTAGGGAGGCAGGCAGATGCCCTTGGGATGGCCGGGAGGTGGGTAAGGAAGCGCGGGTAAGAAAATCATATATAAAATATATAAAATAATGTATAAATATTAAAATTAATATGCCATCCCTACTTTGTGGATTTTCACTTATTGCAGGTGGTCCTGGGATGGAGGGAACACTGTAGATCAATAGGTACCACTCCAGTGGGAAGGCAACTCCATGCAATCATGCTGGCCATATGACCATTGGAGGCATCTGTGGACAACGCTGGCTCTTTGTCATCTACACTGTAGAATTAATGCAGCTTGACACATTTTAACTGTCATGGCTCAATGCTATGGGATCATGGCAGCTATCTTTTTATAAGATCTTTAGCTTTGTCTACCAAAGAAGACTGGTGTATTACCAAACTACAGTTCCTAGGATTCCATAGTAACAACAACGACAACAACAACAACAATAATAATAATACACTATTTATATTCCTCTCTATCTCCCTGAGGGGACACAGAGCAGATTACAGTATACACATATATAGGCAAACATTCAACTTCTTTTATACAGTAGACAACAATGGCATACAATACACAAACAAAGGCAAAAGTTTCCCTTTCCATCTCCAGCCTGTGGAAGTAGTGCTCAACTCTAATATAGATAGATAGATAGATAGATAGATAGATAGATAGATAGATAGATAGATGGATGGATGGATGGATGGATGGATGGATGGATGGATGGATGGATGGCTTGGTTGATCCAAAAAAATGGTTCAAAACTTATTTCAGATGTATGGGGCGTTGGTGGTTCGATTCTAAAGGCAATTCCGATTTTCACAGAAAAAAATGTTCAAAACTTTTCAAAACTTTCGAGGCTTCTGAATCCTTTTGTTAATGTTTTGAAAGTGTTATTTCCTGTTTCATTGGGTGGTCTTTACTTTGAAAGTACTTGTTTTACTCCTAAAGCGAGGAAAAGCAAGTGGTGGAAATTCCTTCCTTCTCTGGTTTAAAACTGGCTTCTCTGGCTTTAAAACTGGCTTCTCTGGCTTGAGCTTAGGCCAGGGACCAGAAGCGGGGAAAAGCTGAGTAATTTCCGACTGACTTCATGAATCGTAACAAAAATGGCGGAAAAAGCTTCGGAAGGGCGAAGAGACTTCCGGTTTTCTTAAAAACATCAAAATTGCTTCAAAAAGGTAATTTTTCTGACTTTATTCCAAATTACAAAGATTCRGATGGTACCTAACCATGCCATATATATATATATATATATATATATATATATATATATATATATATTACTATGATATAGTAGGCTCGGTTGATCCAAGAAAGTGGTGTCAAGCTGCATTAATTCTACAGTGTCAGTGTACCTTTACACCAGTATCCATCAGGAAATCCATCTTATCTTGATCAGAACTCCCAGTGTATGGGATAGGTTAGTCTGGGAAACAACACTGTGCCCAAGGCTACCAAACTAAGTTTGTAACTAAATCGCGTGTGAAGTTGGGTCTAATCATTCTAAATCTAGTATGCTGTCCATTTTGCTTGAATAATATTTCCTTGTAAGAATGTTGTAATGCACAAAGCTTATGTTGCTGCTGTTCTGTATGAGGGTAACTGCAGGGAGAATAAATGCAAATATTGCTCAATCTGATTTGATTGATTGGTAATAAAACTGGTGATAAATCTATTTATTTATTTATTTATTTATTTACTTTATTTATATACCGCTTTTCTCAGCCCTCAGGCGACTCAAAGCGGTAAATTGATTCAATTGATGTAAATGTGTACATTGCCTGTCTTCAGTTATGGTAACATAAAGCTAAAGGTTTCCCCTGACATTAAGTTTAGTTGTGTCCAACTCTTGTGGTGGGATGTTCACTTTCATTTCTAAGCCAAAGAGTCATAGAATCATAGAATCATAGAGTTGGAAGAGACTTCGTGGGTCATCCAGTCCAGCCCCCTGCCAAGAAGCAGGAATATTGCATTCAAATCACCCCTGACAGATGGCTATCCAGCCTCTGTTTAAAAGCTTCCAAAAAAGGAGCCTCCACTACGCTCTGGGGAAGAGAGTTCCACTGCTGAACGGCTCTCACCTCCAAGGTCATGTGGCCAGCATGACTACATGAAGTGCCGTGACCTTCCCGCAGAAGCGGTACCTACTGATCTACTCACATTGGCATGTTTTCGAACTGCTAGGTTGGCAGAAGCTGGGGCTAACAGCAAGACCTCTCTCCGCTCCCTGGATTTGAACCGCTGACCTTTTGGTCAGCAAGTTCAGCACCTCAGTGGTTTAACCCGCTGCACCACCGGGGGCAGAAAACAAATCATGGGATAAATCCACCTGCTGTGGTCAAGATCTGGCTTTAGAGTAGATGAATATTATCAATGCATTATATTAGACAAAAGCTAATAGGCAAAACACTCTTACTAAATGTAAAGCCTTTTATTTTGGCTTCTCTGTGCTCCTCCCTCCAAAAATGTCTACAAGGCAAGCCAGAGCAGAAATTGGGGTGATCCAAGTGGGCACTTTTCGACTTTAACAATTTCTAATAGAGACTGGCTTTGGTTGATAACGAATAACTACTAAATCAGGGGAAGAAGACCTGAGTGGGCGGGAGTGGCATCCAAGGGGTCTTTTGCCAGTCAAGGAAAGCCCCAGGGATTGAACAAAGATGTCCAAGCATTTTCCTGTCTATTGTAGAATTGATGCAGTCTGATACCACTTTCACTGCCATGGCTCAATGCTATGGGATCCTGGGAGTTGCAAATTGGTGAGGCGCCTGCACTTTTCAGCAGAGAAGGTGAAATACCTTGTACAACTACAATTCCCATGATTCTATAGCATCGAGTCATGGTAGTTAAAGTGGAGCCGACTGAACTGCATTCATGTCACCTAAGCATTCTTTCCCAAATCCCATCTATGAAGATGCTTGAACTGATGGATCATCCATCACTCCTTCCTTTTATCTATCATGCTTGAGAGAACATATCGAGGAACATCCTCTTTGTATTATCCAAGGCTTTTGTGGCTAGAATTGTAGGTTGTTTTGTAGGTTTTTTGGGTTATATGGCCATTTTCTAGAAGCATTCTCTTCTGATGTTTCGCCTCCATCTATGGCAAGCACCCTCAGAGGTTGTGACAACCTCTGAGGATGCTTGCCATAGATGCAGGCGAAACGGAAAAAGAAAGGGAAAAGGGAGAGGCCTGAGGCTATTAGGAATTGTGGAAGGTGAAGTCCAAAAAACCTGGAGGGCCCATTTCTGTCTTTCTCTATTCTATACTGTAGAATTAATGTAGTTTGTCACCCCTTTAACTGCCCTAGTTCAATGCTGTGGAATCTTTGGTGAGACCCCAACACTCTTTGGCAGGGAAGGCTCAGACCCTTGTAAAACCCCAGATTCCATCAGTTTAGCCTCCGTGGCTCAATATTATGTTTAGTTATAGATTATGTTTATTTATATATTGAGCCATGGAGGCTAAAACTGATGTCATCCTGCATTATTTTACAGTGGAGCTGCACCCTAACAGGCATGTATTATTATTATTATTATTACGTTTTATCTCTCCCAAAGGAGACTCAAAGCAGCTTAAAATAAAAATATTAGCATACAATTGAAAATATATTATTATTATTATTATTATTATTATTATTATTATTATTATTATAAAGAAGACTCAAAGCAGCTGACATTGAAAGCATTTCAATTACAGTTTAAAATCTCTCTCTATATATATGGCATACATAGACTATCATAGACTTAGAAGGGGCCCTCAAAGGACATCCAGTCCAGCCCTGCTCTTAACTAGGAGTCGTTTGTAAGTTGAGTGTTTGTAACTCAGGGATGGCCTCTATCTCTGTGTGTGCACGAGCACACAAATGTATATATCTATATCTATATCTCTCTATCTCTATCCCCCCCTCTCTCTATGTATGTATATACACACACACACACAAATGAGATAGATATAGTATCATAGATTTGAAAGGGTCCCCCAAAGGCC